TTGTTGACCCAGTTCGGTGTAATACACCTACTCTGGGGGCATACCAAGCCAGGAAGAAGATCCACTATTAGCAATATTAATTCAGGACTAAACTTCACAAGTTCCCATCCTTCACTTAATCATCTACCCAGTGCAACCTATACCTAGGAACTCCTAGATAGAAACCTACCAGTTTCCATTCCTATTGTCGCAACAACAGAAGTCTTACTCCTACTCAAGAAGCAGTGCCCTCCCACTTGGTTTCCTACATTACAATGAATATGAAGTAATGCAGAAATACTTAGACTTGCTTCACAGCTTCATCCAAGAACACTCAAACTCTTACCTACAGGTTTCGAGTTACATACATGGTAACCTTGCCACAGACCGACAGGTTTACCTAACAAAAACACCTCTAATGTTACATTGTGTGTGTCACTTAAACCCTAGGTTACAATCTGCTATTTATAACCTATTACCTAACTCAGCAAGTTTTTCTCCTTGCTGTTACAACTCAGCAGCAAACTTCTCCTATAATCAAGGTCTTCAATCTTCTAGTTCCTAAAATATCTCCATATTTAGAAACAGTATTTTCTTCAAATATTCTGATTGATTCTTGATTGATCTTCAGATTCTTCACAAGAAACGCCACATATATTCTCAGAGTATTTAAGTACCAGAACTGTAACTGAATTATCAATTCTGTTGTCGTGATGTCAAGTCAGATGTCATGACATTACATCTAACATGTTTTCCTAGATGTTGAACTTTTTCAACACAACAAATAACCTAGATCACTTAGAATAGTTAGGTTATAAGTCACAGCTGTTACAAACATTCAACATATAACATAGTTACTTAATCAGTACTTAGTTTCAGGCGCGATGTCACATGCTGATGTTGTGACATCTTACATAACATGTTGGTCCAGATGTTGAACTTCTTCAACACCACATATTAAAACAACAGAGGGGATCTGGGTAAACTTGCTTTCTTATTTGTTTTACAAATGAGGCCAACTCTCCAGCCAGGGCACTTACAGAAAATAGCAGTGAAAGGGAAAGGAAACGTTCTCATCTAATTTCAGAATGAGTATCATCACTTCATTTCCAATGTTTACTATGCGCCAAATATGAATAGCACCATCTTGAGTTTAGGAAATCTATTAGAAAAAGGTTATGTCATTTAATTAAGGATAATAACATTTTGGTAAGAGATCACTTAAGGAAGTTCATTGATAAGGTGCTGATCAAGAGGATAAAAAATTAAATTAAATATTTCTTATTTAATATAAATTAAAAACTAAATTTAAATTTAGACTGTTTGAACTTGATACAACATACGACAAAATGTTTAATGTGTGTATACGGAGAATGTAGACTATTTAAATTGATTATGGATTTGATAGTTTTTGGGCCTTAAAAATTGCAAGCCCAAATTTGGGTTGTACTAGGTTTAACTTCTAGAACCATATTCTATAGATATTTATGGAGCTCTATAGAAGATAAGGATAAGTTAGGTTTTTTATAGAAAAATAGAAAAAATTCTAGAGAGTGATTTATAGCCATTAGATTAAGTTTGTAGTGGCAAAATCCAAGTCGTTGATATAGGAATATCATTAGTACAAATAGAGGTTATGTGCTTGAGTTTGACTCAATAATACAAGTAAAATTATCTTTCTCAAATACTTAAACACTTTCTCCACCAGCTCAAAACTTCACTCCAATAGAGAATTGTCACTACAATGAGTCTGATTTAGCTATTGTACATTCCTTATGTCAGTAACTAATTAAACTGTGTTTGATGTTTGCTATATTTTTTATCTCTTTTTGTTGTTTCTCTTTTTCTATTAGATTTCATTCGTGTCTTGTTTTGTTGTTATGTTTCCATACTGCTAACATATTGAGATTCCTAAAAATAAAAATGCGCTAAACCATTAATGTTTTTGGTACTAGCCTAAGAGATACATAATTGAATTACAACACCTCTACTACTTTAATTTCAATGTTAATACCTTCAATTTGGATCAATGACGCTACCATAAGTTTGATATAAATATTGTTATGCATGTGTAATATTTCTTTAGATCTGATTCTCCCATCTACTTAATTTCTTCAAATCTTTATTAAATCGTTATCTAAACTATGCAGCATCATTCTAACCGTTAAAGATGAAATTTATGGATTCAACGAAAATCTCTACCATGGGATTTAATTGGTCTCTTGTAAGAAATATTTGTTTCATTTCATCGATCGTAATTTACATGATTAAATGTGGTGAGTTTTATCTTAATCAATGATTTTTACTGTTCCTGGGATCTTGAAGTGTCGTTAATGGCAAGCTTCAGTGGCATCAACATGTTGGATCCCTTTTCTATGATTCATCTAACCACTGCTTAGAGAATAAGGAATGATGGATCCTTGATGTTTACTTTTTACTTAAAATAATTCTGCAAAATTTGAGCTACCTACATTTGGTGACATATTTTTTAATGTTTGATTATCCAGAGAAGACAAACAATTTTATATAAAACAAACCATTGTGGAGTTTAAGCATTCTATTTAAATGTACATTCAACATAAACACCACAATCTACCCATCAAATGTAACTGTGGTGAGAAAACACATAATTAAGCTTAGGACTCCCAACAATGGAACTTCCGACAATGGTCAAGAAGGAAAATCTCAAGAAGGTAAAGTGGCCGTGTTAGGAGATAAAAACGATTGGAAGAGAAAACAAGAAGAGAAAAAAATTCATGATGTAGTTTGCAATTTTGTATATCCTTTGCTAGATTTGATCTCATTAAAGTGGTTGTATTATATGTTAAGTTTGTAATTCTAGTCAATGGATAGATCCCTCTGATTTTTCATGTTGTATTCCCCAGGTGCGCCAACAGTTACATTTAATCTCCTCCAAGCGGAATTATCACATTATAACAACTTCAAGTCTTATTATCACAATGTGATCTTTCAAGTGTCTCTTTTTTATACTGTCTTTAAGCTAATGATTTATCCTATTTATATGTTCTCATGTAGTAACTCCACATGTACTAAGATACAATTTAGATTTAGTGAATGATTAATATAATTAACTTGCTTAAATATGTATTTATCTCATTTCCATTCTAAAACTTAAATGGCTGCATTTTCTTACTAGATGTATCAAAATCCATAGCATAAAAATGTATTCAAATGTATCTAATATTAACCATTTCAAATTTCTAGATGCAGCCAAATTTATACATTCATCTTTAAAAAATACCACAACAACACATGACAAATCATAATGCATAAAAATGCTACAATTGTGAGAAGTTGTTAATACATACTTCCAAATGTAGAGCTTCTAACAATCGTAACTGAAATAGACGCCCAACTATGTTGAAGAAATAAGCCAAGAAGACAAGACACTATTGTTGGCACATAAATAGAATAAAGAAATATGGAGATAATCATTGGTACCTAGGTAGAGGCCTGCTTGTAGAGCGAGATGAATGGGATCTGGAATGTGGATTTTGGATATAAATCGAAAGTTGCAGTGATAGGGAAACAAAACATTATCATCTAATTTCAGAATGAGTATCATGACTTCATTTCCAATGTTTACTATCCACCAAATATGAAGATAAACATCTTAAGGTTATCAAAACTATTAGAGAAAGGTTATGTCATTTAATTAAGGATAATAACCTTTTTGTAAGAGATCACTTAAGCAAGTTTATTCTTAAGGTGCACATCAAGCGGGTAAAATATTAAATTAAATATTTTTTTATTTAATTTAAAATAAAAACTACATTTAAATTTAGATTGTTTGAACGTGATCCAACAGACGACAAAATGTTTAATGTGTGTATGCGGAGAATGTTGATTATTTAAATTGATTATGGATTTAATAATTTTTGGGCCCTAAGAATTGTAAGCCCAAATTTGGGTTGTAGTAGGTCCAACTTCTAGAAGCATATTCTAGAGAGGTTTATGGAGCTCTCTAGAAGATAAGGATAAGTTAGGTTTTATATAGAAAAATAGAAAACATTCTAGAGAGTGATTTATAGCCATTAGATTAAGTTTGTAGTGGCAAAATCCAAGGTGTTGATATAGGAATATCACTAGTACAAATAGAGGTTATGTGATTGAATTTCACTCAATAATACAAGTAAAATTATCTTTCTCTAAAGTTTCATATGCTCTTCCAAATGCTTAAACACTTTCTCCACCTGCTCAAAACTTCATTCCAATAGAGAATTATCACCACAATGAATCTGATTTAGCTAATGTGCGTTCCTTATGTCAGTAATTAATTAAACTGTGTTCGATGTTTGCTATATTTTTTATCTCTTATTGTTGTTTATCTTTTTCTATTAGAATTCATTTGTGTCTTGTTTTGCTTTTATGTTTCCACACTGCTAACATATTGAGATTCCTAAAAGGAAAAATGCGCTAAACCATTACTATTTTTGGTACTAACCTAAGAGATACATAATTGAATTTCAACAACTCAACTACTTCAAATTGAAAGTTAATACCTTCAATTTGGATCAATGACGCTAACATGAGTTTGATATAAATATTGTTATGCATGTGTGCTATTTCTTTATATCTGATTCTCCCATCTACTTAATTTATTCAAATCTTTACTAAATCTTTATCTAAATTATGCAGCCTCATTCTAACAGTTAAAGATCAAGTTTATTTATTCAACGGAAATCTCTACAGTTGGATTTGATTGGTCTCTTGTAAGAGATATTTGTTTCATTTCATCCACCGTAATTTCCATGATTAAATATGGTGAGTTTTATCCTAATCAATGATTTTTGTTGTTACTGGGACCTTAAAGTTCCGTTGATGTCAAATGTTTTTTATTATACATTTTATTTTTCTTCTCTAGTTTTCCCTCTTGAGCCAATTAATGCTGATGATTGAGAGGGAGACTAATGGCAAGCTTCAGTGGTATCAACATCCTGGAGCCCTTTTCTCTGATTCATCTCACCACTCCTTAGTGAATAACGAAATAAGGATCCTTGATGTTAAATTTGAGCTACCTACATTTGGAGACATATTTTGTAATGTTTGATTATCCAGAGAAGACAAACAATTTTATAATAAACAAACCATTATGGAGTTTAAGCATTCTATTAATATGTACATTCAACATAAACACAACAATCTACCCATCAAATTTAACAAGGGTGAGCAAACAAAGTATTAAGCTTAGGACTCCTGACAATGGATCTTCCGACAATGGTCAAGAAGAAAAATCTCAAGAAGGTAAAGTGGCCGTGTTAGGAGATAAAAACGATTGGAAGAGAAAACAAGCAGAAGAGAAAAAAATTCATGATGTAGTTTGCAATTTTGTATACCCTTTGCTAGATTTGATCTCATTAAAGTAGTTGTATTATATGTTAAGTTTGTAATTCTAGTCAATGGATAGATACATACGATCTTTCATGTTGTATTCTCCAGGTGCGCCAATGGTTACATTTAATCTCCTCCAAGTCGAATTATCACATTATAACAACTTCAAGTCTTATTATCACAATGTGATCTTTCAAGTGACTCTTTTTTATACTGTCTTTAAGCTAAAGATTTATCCTGTTTCTATGTTCACATGTAGTAACTCCACATGTACTAAGATACAATTTAGATTTAGTGAATGATTAATATAATTAACTTGCTTAAATATGTATTTATCTCATTTCCATTCTAAAACTTAAATGGCTGCATTTTCTTACTAGATGTATCAAAATCCATAGCATAAAAATGTATTCAAATGTATCTAATATTAACCATTTCAAATTTCTAGATGCAGCCAAATTTATACATTCATCTTTAAAAAATACCACAACAACACATGACAAATCATAATGCATAAAAATAGTACAATTGTGAGAAGTCATTAATACATGCTTCCAAATGTAGAGCTTCTAACAATCGTAAACTGAAATAGACACCCAACTATGTTGAAGAAATAAGCCAAGAAGACAAGACACTATTGTTGGCACATAAATAGAATAAATAAATATGGAGATAATCATTGGTACCTTCGCATAGGCATGCTTGTAGAGCGAGATGAATGTGATCGGGAATGTGAATTTTGGAGATAAATCGAAAGTAGCAGTGAAAGGGAAACAAACATTATCATCTAATTTCAGAATGAGTATCATGACTTCATTTCCAATGTTTACTATGCGCCAAATATGAAGAGAAACATATTGAGTTTAGGAAAACTATTAGAGAAAGGTTATGCCATTTAATTAAGGATAATAACCTTTTGGAAGAGATCACTTAAGCAAGTTTATTCCTAAGGTGCAGATCAAGCGGATAAAATATTTAATTTAATATTTTTTATTTAATAAAAAATAAAAACTACATTTAAATTTAGACTGTTTGAACGTGATCTAACAGATGACAAAATGTTGAATGTGTGTATGCGGAGAATGTTGATTATTTAAATTGATTATGGATTTGATAATTTTTGGGCCGTAAGAATTGTAAGCCCAAATTTGGGTTGTAGTAGGTCCAACTTCTAGAAGCATATTCTAGAGAGGTTTATGGAGTTCTATAGAAGATAAGGATAAGTTAGGTTTTATATAGAAAAATAGAAAATATTCTAGAGAGTGATTTATAGCCATTAGATTAAGTTTGTAGTGGAAAAATCCAAGTTGTTGATATAGGAATAACACTAGTACAAATAGTGGTTATATGCTTGAGTTTCACTCAATAATACAAGTAAAATTATATTTCTCAAAAGTTTTATATGCTCTTCCAAATACTTAAACACTTTCTCCACCTTCTCAAAACTTCATTCCAATAGAGAATTATCAGTACAATGAATCTGATTTAGCTACTGAGCATTCCTTATGTCAGTAATTAATTAAATTGTGTTCGATGTTTGCTATATTTTTTATCTCTTATTGTGGTTTCTCTTTTTCTATTAGATTTCATTTGTGACTTATTTTGCTTTTATGTTTCCACACTACTAACATATTGAGATTCCTAAAAGGTAAAATGCGCTAAACCATTAATATTTTTTGTACTAGCCTAAGAGATACATAATTGAATTACAACAACTCAACTACTTTAAATTCAACGTTAATACCTTCAATTTGGATCAATGACACTACCATGAGTTTGATATAAATATTGTTATGCATGTGTGATATTTCTTTAGATCTGATTCTCCCATCTACTTAATTTCTTCAAATCTTTACTGAATCTTGATTTAAATTATGCAGCTTCATTCTAATAGTTAAAGATGATGTTTATTTATTCAAAAGAAATATATACCATGGGGTTTGATTGGTCTATTGTAAGAGATATTTGTTTCATTTCATCGACCGCAATTTCCATGATTAAATGTGGTGAGTTTTATCTTAATCAATGATTTTTGCTGTGACTGGGATCTTGAAGTTTCGTTGATGTCAAATGTTTTTGATTATACATTTTATTTTTCTTCTCTAGTTTTCCCTCTTGAGCCAATTAATGTTGAAGATTGAGAGGGAGACTAATGGCAAGCTTCAGTGGCATTAACATGCTGGAGCCCTTTTCTCTGATTCATCTCACCAATGCTTAGTGAATAACAAAAGATGGATCCTTGATGTTTAATTTTTACTTAAAATAATTCTGCCAAATTTGAACTAGCTACATTTGGAGACATATTTTGTAATGTCTGATTATCCAGAGAAGACAAACAATTTGATATAAAACAAACCATTGTGGAGTTTAAGCATTCTATTAATATGTACATTCAACATAAACACCACAATATACGCATCAAATGTAATTGTGGTGAGCAAAGAGATTATTGAGCTTAGGACTCCCGACAATGGAACCTACGTCAATGGTCAAGAAGAAAAATTTCAAGAAGGTAAAGTGGCCGTGTTAGGAGATAAAAACGATTGGAAGAGAAAACAAGCAGAAGAGAAAAAAATTCATGATGTAGTTTGCAATTTTGTATATCCTTTGCTAGATTTGATCTCATTAAAGTGGTTGTATTATATGTTAAGTTTATAATTCTAGTCAACGGATAGATCCCTCTGATATTTCATGTTGTATTCTCTAGGTGCTTTAATGGTTACATTTAATCTCCTCCAAGTCGAATTATCACATTATAACAACTTCAAATCTTATTATCACAATGTGATATTTCAAGTGACTCTTTTTTATACTGTCTTTAAGCTAAAGATTTATTCTATTTATATGTTCACATGTAGTAACTCCACATGTACTAAGATACAATTTATATTTAATGAATGATTAATATAATTAACTTGTTTAAATATGTATTTATCTCATTTCCTTTCTAAAACTTAAATGGCTGCATTTTCTTACTAGATGTATCAAAATCCATAGCATAAAAATGTATACAAATGTATCTAATATTAACCATTTCAAATTTCTAGATGCCGCCAAATTTATACATTCATCTTTAAAAAATACCACAATAACACATGACAAATCATAATGCATAAAAATGCTACAATTGTGAGAAGTCGTTAATACATGCTTCCAAATGTAGAGCTTCTAACAATCGTAAACTGAAATACACACCCAACTATGTTGAAGAAATAAGCCAAGAAGACAAAACACTATTGTTGGCACATAAATAGAATACAGAAATATGGAGATAATCATTGGTACCTTGGCAGAGGCATGCTTGTAGAGCGAGATGAATGTGATCGGGAATGTGGATTTTGGAGATAAATCGAAAGTAGCAGTGAAAGGGAAACAATCATCTAATTTCAAAATGAGTATCATGACTTCATTTACAATGTTTACTATGAGCCACATATGAATAGAAACATATTGAGTTTAGGAAAACTATTAGAGAAAGGTTATGTCATTTAATTAAGGATAATAACCTTTTGGAAGAGATCACTTAAGCAAGTTTATTCCTAAGGTGCAAATCAAGCAGATAAAATATTAAATTTAATATTTTTTATTTAATATAAAATAAAAACTACATTTAAATTTAGACTGTTTGAACGTGATCCAACAGACGACAAAATGTTGAATGTGTGTATGCGGAGAATGTTGATTATTTAAATTGATTATGGATTTGATAATTTTTGGGCCGTAAGAATTGTAAGCCAAAATTAGGGTTGTTGTAGGTCCAAGTTCTAGAAGCATATTCTAGAGAGGTTTATGAAGTTCTATACAAGATAAGGATAAGTTAGGTTTTATATAGAAAAATAGAAAATATTCTAGAGAGTGATTTATAGCCATTAGATTAAGTTTGTAGTGGAAAAATCCAAGTTGTTGATATAGGAATAACACTAGTACAAATAGTGGTTATGTGCTTGAGTTTCACTCAATAATACAAGTAAAATTATATTTCTCAAAAGTTTCATATGCTCTTCCAAATACTTAAAAACTTTCTCCACCTTCTCAAAACTTCATTCCAATAGAGAATTATCACTACAATGAATCTGATTTAGCTACTGAGCATTCCTTATGTCAGTAATTAATTAAACTGTGTTTGATGTTTGCTATATTTTTTATCTCTTATTGTGGTTTCTCTTTTTCTATTAGATTTCATTTGTGACTTATTTTTCTTTTATGTTTCCACACTGCTAACATATTGAGATTCCTAAAAGGAAAAATGTGCTAAACCATTAATATTTTTGGTACTAGCCTAAGAGATACATAATTGAATTACAACAGCTCAACTACTTTAAATTCAACGTTAATACCTTCAATTTAGATCAATGACACCACCATAAGTTTGATATAAATATTGTTATGCATGTGTGATATTTCTTTATATCTGATTCTCCCATCTACTTAATTTCTTCAAATCTTTACTAAATCTTGATCTAAATTATGCAGCTTCATTCTAACAGTTAAAGATGAAGTTTATTTATTCAAAGGAAATATCTACCATGGGATTTGATTGGTCTCTTGTAAGAGATATTTGTTTCATTTCATCAACCGTAATTTCCATGATTAAATGTGGTGAGTTTTATCTTAATCAATGATTTTTTCTATTACTGGGATCTTGAAGTTTCGTTGATGTCAAATGTTTTTGATTATACATTTTATTTTTCTTCTCTAGTTTTCCCTCTTGAGCCAATTAATGTTGAAGATTGAGAGGGAGACTAATGGCAAGCTTCAACGGAATTAACATCCTGGAGCCCTTTTCTCTGATTCATCTCACCAATGCTTAGTGAATAACGAAAGATGGATCCTTGATGTTTAATTTTTACTTAAAATAATTCTGCAAAATTTGAGCTACCTACATTTGGAGACATATTTTGTAATGTTTGATTATCCAGAGAAGAGAAACAATTTGATATAAAACAAACCATTGTGGAGTTTAAGCATTCTATTA